GTTTTTGGAGCAGGTTAACATTTATGGTGCAGTTTTTGGTGTAGGTTTCATTTCCAAGTAACTATAAGCCCTATGTTAACCAAACTTGCATGGATGATACATCTAAGGATGCATACTACCGGGCTTGCTTCGGATGCTGAATCTAACCTACATTTTCCGGCTGAGTGAACAGGTTAAAGTTTTTGGTGCAGGTTTCATTTCCAAGTATCTGTAAGTCCTATGTTGACCAAACTTGCATGGATGATACATCTAAGGATGGATACTACCAGGCTTGCTTCGGATGCTGAATCTGACCTACATTTTCCAGTTGAGTGAACAGGTTAAAGTTTTTGGTGCAGGTTTCATTTCCAAGTAACTATAAGCCCTATGTTGACCAAACTTGCATGGATGATACATCTAAGGATGGATACTACCAGGCTTACTTCGGATGCTGAATCTGACCTACATTTTCCAGTTGAGTGAACAGGTTAAAGTGTTTGGAGCAGGTTTCATTTGCAAGTAACTTTAAGCCCTATGTTGACCAAACTTGCATGGATGATAAATCTAAGGATGCACACTACCGGGCTTGCTTCGGATGCTGAATCTGACCTACATTTTCCGGTTGAGTGAACAAGTAAAAGTTTTTGGTGCAGGTTTCATTTCCAAGTAACTATGAGTTCTTTAATGACCAATCTTGCATGGATGATACATCTTAGGATGCATACTATATGCTGAATCTGACCTACATTTTGTGGATGAGTGAAAATGTTAGTTTTTGATGTATGTTTCATCTCCAATTAACTATGAGCCTTATAATGTGCAAACTTGCATGGATGATACATCTTAGGATGCACACTAATGGACTTGCTTCGGATGCTGAATTCGACATATATATTTTTCAGATAATAGACTAGGTTAAAGTTATGGTTGCAGGTCTATTACCAAAAAACTTTAAGGCTTTTATAACATTGTATAAACCAAACTTGCACAAATGTTGCATCAAGAGATGAAAACTCAAATTTGCTTTAGATGCTGAATTACATTTTCATGAAGAAGAACTACTTTAAATTTTTTATGTTGGTCTACTTCAAAGTATCAGATCAAAATTGCTTAGATATTTTCATTTTTGGAATGTACATTTTTTGTTGGTTAATTGTGTGACTTTGCCTTATTTAAAGACAACATTCGTTGAGGTGAGCTCTGTAATCTCTGATTACCTATGTTTACATAATGGATGGGCGGTCGGATCAAACTCGTCCTTTTCCGTATAGGAGAACAAGACCCGAAGAGGATTTCGGAAATAGCCGAGTAGCTACGATTGAATACGAATGAATCTGACGTCACAGCGGAAGTGACGTCGAGCTGTGTCTGCACTGGCTGTGTTTAGATCGAAGGAGGCTGCATATCTTCGTGTTTCTCCGCGTTTCAAAGCATGTTTTCCTATTGTTAACATATTTTTATTTACTACAGCATTTTCTTGGTAATGTTGACGCGAAGGATGGGATTTTTCGAATGCAAACTGCAAGGTTAGTGAAAAACTGGAGACAACGAAATGACCCGACCTTCCTCGGCGTTTGAGTGTGAAATACGTTACGAGTTACGAAATTTACGCAAGCTGGTGAGGATTCTGGAATCTTTTGAGAGTATTTACTGAACATTATTCACGATGGGATGTTAATTTGAACGTTTTTTATCATAATCTAAGATTAGAAAGTAGCGGCGCAGGCGCAGTAGGGGGGTTAGTTGTGCCTGGCATGACTAAGCCCATTTTACGCGTGCGCTAACTAACCCTACTGAAACTGACAAAAACCTGACTAAGCCTTGACTTTAGGCTAAGTCCTAAAAATAAAATGCATGCAAAGAAAAAAAAAGAACACCAGCACACACAACATTCCAGAAACAAATAAAATAAATTAACACAAAATAATTATAAATTAAATAGAAAAAAACTTAAATTCTTAAACTAAATCAAGTTTTATTAGAAATATTCATGTTAGTTAACTAAGTTAGTCAAATATAAGAGAATTTGCAATAGAAATTCTTGTTAGTTAACTAAGTTAGTCAAATACTAACACAAAATGCAATGAAAATTCTTGTTAGTTGTCTAAGTTAGTCTAACTAAGGGATTTTTTCTTGAAAACCCCAAATTCCAATGATCAGAATAATTCCAATTTTAAATAATACACTGTTTAAACAACACTGACATTATAAGAGACTTGTCCCTGACAAAAGTATGTATCAAGGTAGCTTATGTGGTATTAAGAGTGATGGTCACACACATTGGTGTCCAGTGGACTGCGGCTCTAGGCTGTGGTCACTGCGTGCATGGTGTATTAGCCTTCACTTTAATTATTGATTACACTGACCTACATCTTACTAATGGTCATGCACTCTCTAAATGAAAGTGAAGTGGAAACTGCACAAAATAAGACATTCCTAATCTTCAACTATTTACATTGAGGAAATTACAATTAATTCTGGTCAGTCATTACCTAATGGCTAATGTAATACACTGGTCACTATGTAATACAATATGTAACAGTGGTTTGAGGTTTGCAGTACATGTATTGGCCACAGAAGTCATTACATGTCCTCAATTTGAAATGCTAACAATTCACTTCAACTTGTCTTTTTATAACATTAGTCAGAAATTAGTAATATCCTGCTAAAAGCTGTCAGATGGTGTTTTATATTAAGTACTTCAAAAATGTTTTAACATTTGTGCATTCATATTTTCTTAGACACAATTTAAAATTCAACAAAAAGTAAATAATTATTTTGACTCTTTTTTCACCATGTTTTACACTTGATTTTGAATCCAGTACAGTACATTTATAATAATACCATAAGATGTGCTCGTGTGTTAACTCCGTCTCAATTGTAATAAAATTAATCCTGTATCCATAACATATTCCTTACTTTAAAATTTCCAGGAAAGATCACTATTCATCTGGAATTAATTTTACAGGTATGAAAAAGATCCATTTATGAAGCATATTAATTAAATTTTAAGGAAATTTATGTATTTCTCTTAAATTTGCAAATAAAATCAAGTCTAAACAAGTTAAAGCATTATAGGTAATTAGTTTTCATTGATGTCCAACTGTGGATTAACAATTTATGTTCTTTTTAATTGATTCACTAATTTTTGACAGTACTTTTTCAAATATCTCATTTTTTGACACTTTGTTCACAAGCTTAGTTTATCATTTGACCATGATTTGACCATGATAACTTATAAAGTAAAGTCTGAAAAATAAAGATTATTTTCAATATTGGGACTTTTGGGAGAAGCATGCAGGACCCTTATCCAGGGCTAAAAGTAATGAAAAAATAGAGAAAAGGTTTTTAAAAAGTTAAACATTATGGTATAAATCAAAAATAGACTTTTTTGAAGCATTAATTACAGATTAAGTCGTGCTCTTTTGCAGCATGCGCTTTTTTACACCAACTACTTTTTCACCTGGTCAGTCAATACACACAACCAATGAAGCATGACATTTCTATTTGCAGTCACCATGAACAGATGGACAAATCAATGATGGTTGTATTGTATGCAGTGTGTGCTCTTAACTGAATATTTGGTCAATTACAAGAAAATCAATAAAATAAAATATAACTTGACCCACAAACCACCAAAAACAGGTTCTGACATTTCATTGTGGCGTGAGCATTGTAAAATATGCATCTCATTAATTTTATCAGCACCACATTTTTGTCAATGTTAACTGAAATGTGCTTCGTTTACCTTTCTGCCATCTTTCTATCAGTCTGAGATGAATGTTAAAGTTGTGCTATTCGCAGAAAACAATTTCATTTTGGTCAAGTGGGGAGATCTCTAGTCCTCAATGATTCAGAGTCCGCCATCTTGGCATCCTAGGCGTTGTTACGCTGATTAAAGATGATAAACCGTTAGCGCCTGTGACAAAAAATTCACTTCAATCCCTCAACAACAGCTTAGGAAATTCAATTCTGGAATTCCGAACAACATGATCGGGTTTTAATTGATGAATTCTTTGGTTGATTATGCCCATTACAAACGCACGCGCACTTGCGACTTCCTTTATCAATACCCGAACTTCCTGTTTACATTTTGCCTTTTGTTTTGTCGGCATGATTTTGTGATTTTAGAATGAATTCAACTTCTTTAATCATGAAATATGTTAGAATGTGAATAATGTAGTAAAAACTCTATTTTCGACACTAGTTTCATAGTCTGTGAAACAAACTTAAGGAGTTGGTGCCTAAAAGTATAAGTAAGAACTGCAAGTAAAACAGTGCTACAGCTACAGAGAACAATATATAAATATTGTGTAAGTTTTCATGTTTGTAATTAGGGCTCTGAATCTCCTTCACTCATATAAATATTTATTATGGTAGACGGTAGTCTCTAGAATTCTTGTTCTGGTATTACATTTGCAGTTGAATTTGAGACACAGGGTCATTTTCTAATATGCAGCTGTTATATCCTATTTGTGTACATTATTGATTACATGTAATTATAAGAAAAAGAATGCACACTAAGCATTTGTAACTGAAAAGGGAATCAAAGCCAAGTTTTGATGGTTGATATTGTAACATGCAACACGTCTGAGCTGGTGTGTTGTGATATGTCTTGTATCACCAAGGTGTGTTATACTCAGGTTCCCTAGCCTGGTAATAAGGCTTTTGTTGACCAAGTTTATGTACAAATTTAATACAATAAAACAAATACAAAGGTTTCTTCTTCATTGACCACTAACTATGGTCAGCGGATATCTCTGGCAACCAATTTTCCTGCATGGCCATGCCACATACAACATTCATTTTATTTTACCAATATTTTAGGGAAGTCCCTGTTCCCTCAAAAAAAAAAAAATAAATGCATTAATTTTAGCAAAAATTGTTCTGTTTTTTCTTCATTTGCACATTTTTATTTTTAGATTTAAAATTGATTCTTTGATGGTTGTAATAAAGCTTAATTTTTAAAGTTTTATAAAAGTTACAATTATGTAAATCAATCAGTCTTTTATGATTTGTAGTTCCATATGTTTCCTAAAATGAACTTTGGGTCCAGTATGGAGCGATTAGAAGAGGTGACACTGGAGGAATGGAATGATCGACTCCAGCAGATTCACCCCACCAGGGCAGACATGAACAAACTGGTGATGAATTACCTGGTCACAGGTAAACTATTTTATAAATCCATAAAATGTTATATTTTAAAAATGTTAAATGATGTTTGTAGTAGGCTTCATAATACGAGTCATATTTCTGTTTTTACAGCCAAAGAATTGCAGCTAAATGTTTTTTGAGCAAGTTACATATTTGTTTACATGTATTTTAAGGTTGTGAGTTCGAATCCTGGCCAAGACAAACCGACGTTGTGTCCTTGGGAAAGGCACTTTACACGAATTTCCTCACTCCACCCAAGTGTGAAAGGGGTACCTGGCTATAGACAGTGAAAGATATTGTTAGAATGTTAGTGTTCTAGCGCTGATAACGGCAGCTTGCACTGAGAAAGATTCTGGATTGTTAAGGTCTGCTGGGGTAATAATGTATTGTAAAGCACTTTGAGTAGCATTTATGCTAGAAAAGCGCTGTATAAAAAACAATCATTATTATTATATTATTATTATTTCTGTTTTTACAGCCAAAGAATTGCAGATAAATGTTTTTGGAGCAAGTTACATATTTTGTTTACATGTATTTTTATTTTTGTAGAGTTAAGGAAATTAAAATGACTGAAGCAATGATGTTCTTTGTGAATAAAGTCAGAACAATTAGGCTTATTAGTAATCGTTTCTAAAGTAGTAATTCTGTACTATACAGTACTAATTCTGTACTACATGACTGTATACAGTACGAAAATCCACCCCATTAGATGTATTTTTCACTGACCTTTTTTTAGAGGGGTTCAAGGAGGCTGCAGATAAGTTCCAGAAGGAATCTGGGGTGCAGCCAATGGTAGACCTGGAACAGTTAGATGAGCGAATCAAAATCAGAGAGGCCATTCAGGAGGGAAAGATACAGGACGCAATCTCATTGGTCAACAGCATCCAACCAGAACTCCTGGACAATGACAGATACCTATACTTTAGATTACAGGTATGTTTGGTTGTTAATGAAGTTTAAGCAGGTTTTATTGCATTCATTTTAATTTATGTAACAAATATTATTAGTTAACTTAATAAATAGCCATTTTCCCATTACGAGAAAAAGGTTTCCTGTCTGTGGTAAAGACAAAAATGAAAGAATTAAACTTTCACAGTTACATTGTAGTTGTAAAACTTTGTATGAAACAATCACTAAATAAACATATTGTTCAAATTACAGCAACAGCAACTGATTGAGCTGATTAGAGAGAAGAATGTGGAGGCAGCACTCGAGTTTGCTCAAACTCAGTTGGCTGAGCGTGGAGAGGAGAATCCAGAAGTATTGTCAGAGCTTGAGCGCACTCTAGCTCTGCTAGCATTTGAGAACCCAGAGTCATCTCCCTTTGGAGAGCTTCTTCATCCCTCACAAAGGCAAAAGGTAAAACAAATATAAAATTCACACACAAGTTTGTATTTAAAGTCACAGTCATGGAAAACAGAAAAGTAAATTAGAATCATTCCTTATTTAATAAATGCATTAAAAATTTCAGTTAAAAAAGTGTGCATTTTTCTATTTCAGTCCTTATTTCTTCAGGTTTAATTTGAATTTTTGCATTTTCTTTTTTTTTTTTTTTTTGGATTTACCATCATAAGAACTAGTTAATCTGCAGATTAAAATATATTGTCATTTTATTATTAAATCATTTTAATGTAATATTGATTTAACTGGAAAATCTTTCCAAAATAGAACATAATATTTCCTGTCATCAGAAATCACAATAACATCACAGACCTTCAAATAACTCTCATCAGACGGACATATTGAAGGAATGTTTAAAAAGTACTGTTAAAACCTCATTTGTTAGTGGGATTAAAGTGATCTGAATGACAAAATACAGTTTCATTAGGCCTAGATAAATAAATTGTGTGTTTCCAGTTCCCCGAGCAAGCCTAAATTATATGAGCCGACCCATAAAAAAATTATCGATATCGCTCTGGAAGTAAACAAATCTGGTTTCTGTTTTAGAAATCCTAATCTGGATTACTTCCATGATTACACATTATAATCAGAAATGTTTTGACTGGAATTCCAGGTTGAATTTTAAACAAAGAAATATTAAAATAAAATGAAATGTTTTCCCTACCTACCTTCCCCATTTTTCTCAGGTTGGAGTAGGAAACACACTTCCTATTTATTTGTCTTACTAAGAACAAAGAAAGGGCAACTTTTTTTAATATAATAATTGTTAGACCCATTGTAGGAAAATGGAGCCAGAGGATGTTTTATTTGTTCTTTGCATACATACAGACTTTATCATATTGCTGTCATGTAACAGCAGTTGCATTGTCCCTGATGTCCAATCACTTTCTCCAAGCTTGTTGCCATTGGTCTTTCTCCATTTTTCCCTTCAATCCTTCTCTCTTTCTTTTCCTTGGACCTTGGTAGTATCTAATTTTTTAAAGAAGATTTTGGACCAAACACTATTATTAAAGTACATTTCCTATAATTCCATGTTTAAGTGTACTCCATATAATGTAATTCATTAGATGTTGTTGGAAATGAAGTATGAGTTATTGCTCTTTTGATGGCCTGGGTTAAGTTTGCCTTAAAATATGTCACCCACTTTATTATTTCCATGCCCCTTTCAAAATATTCACCATCTCAGGTGATCTCACCTGAGTCAAAGTCTCAAGTGACATTTTCAAAACTTGCTTCAGATGCTTGATCTACATTTTTGGAGCAGGTCCATTCCATAGAAATGTTAAGTTTTACCGAACCGAAATCGCATGGATATTAATCTTTGCAATGCTTACAAACTACAATAAATTAGACGTGACAGAAATATGATCTTATAGATATTATAATGTCAAGGTGAGCATTGTGACCTTGATTCCCTGTGCTATTTCATTTTAGGTGGCCAGTGAACTGAATATCAGGAGTTTACTTTACACCAAAGCAGCCAACCTAATAACTCCTGTTTTTGGTTAAGGAAAGACAAAAAGTTTAATAGCGAATGACTGACCTTGCCACAGGGGCACTGGAGGAACCCAAGTAAAGGGGTGGATGCAAAAGAGTGAGGGGTGTACATAATAAGACTCATCATTTCTTTGTTAAGTATGGTGGCAAGTGGGGCAGCAGACATGATTCCAAATTGTGTTCAGATTTGAAATTATTGAGTTAATGGGCCACTGTATTTCTTAACATAGGGTTTTAATAATGCTTTAATTCATGCATAAAAATTATGTGTTATATGCTTATTACTTTTGAATTTAATGTACTTTTTATGCAGAGCAAATCCATGTGTTTCATTTCCTCTCTCTGCTGAGATATATGTCATGATGCTAGTTCTAACAATTGGTTTGGTTTGAACATATTTTATTGTTTTGATGTTATAACAAAAGGATTGGACATAATAGCTAGCATAGGAGGGGTAGTTTTTTGTTTTCATTTATATGTACCTATATATTTATTTGTTTGAATGGCAAAAAAAAAAATCAAACAAAATTTAAAATAAAGGTTTGTCAAAGACATCATATGAATTTGATTTATATGTTTAATGCATGTACATGTACAAGGAACTGGAGAATGCTTTTATCAAAGAAACGCTGTGGTATGTATCCCATAGTTCTGGCTTTAAAGAGGCTGGGGGGTGGCAGCCATTTTCAGACTATTTCAATCTCCTTTAAAAGAAGAGTTCCATATAAAGATATACAAAAATGATCAAATTTTAAAACTAAAATGTATGATTTTTAGCTCACCTCAACGAAGTTGAAATTAATACCCTATACGTATTGCTCTTCGGTGTCGGCGTTGGCGTCCCAGGTTAAGTTTTTTGGAGCAGTTTTCTTTTTAACTACTTCTATGTCCTATATGGATAAGACATGCATGGAGGATGGTTCTAGTGTGTTTCATTGCACCATTCAAAGTTTCAGATGCTGCAATTTCAGCAAAGGAATGACCAGGTTAATGTTTTTGGAGCAGGTTAACATTTTTGGTGCAGTTTTTGGTGTAGGTTTCATTTCCAAGTAACTATAAGCCCTATGTTGACCAAACTTGCATGGATGATACATCTAAGGATGCATACTATCGGGCTTGCTTCGGATGCTGAATCTGACCTACATTTTCGGGTTGAGTGAACAGGTTAAAGTTTTTGGTGCAGGTTTCATTTCCAAGTAACTATAAGACCTATGTTGACCAAACTTGCATGGATGATACATCTAAGGATGCATACTATTGGTCTTGCTTTGGATGCTGAATCTGACCTACATTTTCCGGTTGAGTGAACAGGTTAAAGTTTTTGGTGCAGGTTTCATTTCCAAGTAACTATAAGACCTATGTTGACCAAACTTGCATGGATGATACATCTAAGGATGCATACTATTGGTCTTGCTTCGGATGCTGAATCTGACCTACTTTTTCGGTTGAGTGAACAGGTTAAAGTTTTTGGTGCATGTTTCATTTCCAAGTAACTATAAGACCTATGTTGACCAAACTTGCATGGATGATACATCTAAGGATGCATACTATCGGGCTTGCTTCAGATGCTGAATCTGACCTACTTTTCCAGTTGAGTGAACAGGTTAAAGTTTTTGGTGCAGGTTTCATTTCCAAGTAACTATAAGCCCTATGTTGACCAAACTTGCATGGATGATACATCTAAGGATGCATACTATCGGGCTTGCTTCAGATGCTGAATCTGACCTACTTTTCCGGTTGAGTGAACAGGTTAAAGTTTTTGGTGCAGGTTTCATTTCCAAGTAACTATAAGCCCTATGTTGACCAAACTTGCATGGATGATACATCTAAGGATGCATACTACCAGGCTTGCTTCGGATGCTGAATCTGACCTACATTTTCCCGTTGAGTGAATAGGTTAAAGTTAATGCATGATTCATTTCCAAGTATCTATGATTCTTTAATGACCAAACTTGCGTGGATGATACATATAAGGATGCATACTATCGGGCTTGCTTCAGATGCTGAATCTGACCTACTTTTCCGGTTGAGTGAACAGGTTAAAGTTTTTGGTGCATGATTCATTTCCAAGCAACTATGACATCTTTAATGACCAAACTTGCATGGATAATACATATAAGGATGCATACTACCAGGCTTGCTTCAGATGCTGAATCTGACCTACTTTTTGTGGATGAGTAAAAATGTTAGTTTTTGATGCATGTTTCATTTCCAATTAACTATGAGCCCTATAATGAGCAAACTTGCATGGACGATAAATCTTAATAGGATGCAAACTAATGGACTTGCTTCAAATGCTGAATTCGACATGCATTTTTCAGATAATAGACCAGGTGAAAGTTATGAGTGCAAGTCTAATACCAAAAAACTATAAGGCTTACATAACATTGTATAAACCAAACTTGCACAAACGTTGCATCAAGAGATGAAAACTCTCAAATTTGCTTCAGATTCTGGATTTTAATTACATTTTCATGAAGAAGAACTAGTTTAAATTTTTTATGTAGGTCTGTTCAAAGTATCAGATCGAAATTGCTTAAATATTTTCATTTTTGGAATGTACACTTTTTGTTGGTTAATTGTGTGACTTTGCCTTACTTAAAGACAACATTTGTTGAGGTGAGCTCTGTAATCTCTGATTACCTATGTTTTTCTTTGCCAAATGATAGTTGACAGCTTTAGATACCAGATCTAAAAAAATAAGTTAAATCTGGTGGTTAATTTGTGGTTAATTTGTTGACCCCCCCAGCCTCCTTAAGGTAAAGCCTCATACATGTTCAACCAAATGAAATTGGCTTTTTCTTCCAACTCCTTGAATTAAAAATAAATGATGGTATAATAAAAATGATGAGAACAAACAAACTTCCTGAGAGTAATATAAGCAATTCAAGTCCCCTACTGATAAGTGTAATGAAAGTCACAATTCTGTCAAAAACTAACATAGTTCATTGTAATACATGTACCACATACAAGTATCTGCATTCTTCAATTGATCAGAAGATCCAAAAGCAATGCCATCAAAACCAGCTCAAGATATCATTTCTGACCCTAAATTTTATCATTTATCTGATTAAGGGACTAGTAATTCATTAGATTTTTAATATTTTATTGGAAAGAATTACTTTCTTGTATTATCTGTTTTTGGGAATTGCTGCTATAATTTTAGCTGCAGAACTATATTGGCGGATCCAGGGGTAGGGGGGTCTGGGGGTTGGAACTCCCCTTTATTTTTGCAGAGAGAAAGAGAGAGAGAGAGAGATTTTTCATGTAACATAGATATTTTCACATCTAATATTTTGGAATAAGGTAAATATATGTTGTTTAATATCTGCCCTTTCTGCTTGCTAGGTAAAGTTTCCCCGTTTTGCTTTCCTCCATAATCCCGGCTTCAGGCCCCGACTACCCACACATTATATGCAAGGTTTCACTGAAATCAGCGAACTTTAGCTATATCTACTGTAGATCACTAAATTTTTGCGACACCTTATTTTCGCGAGATTGTCATTGACTCTTAGTACGCGAGACATCATTTTCAGGAATAGTTGTTATTCCTCTATATAATCGTAAGGAATACTTTTATACGCGAGAATTAAATTTTCGCAAACGCACTGTCTCGCGTAATTACGTGAAAATAAAGTTCTCGCGAATAAAAAGTGATTTACAGTATATGCCAGTTTTAAACCGTGTTCATAAAAAGTCATGAAAGGGAGAATGTAGGAGAGAACATTTCTCTCCTTATATCGTGGGAATATTTTAATCAATAAAGAGAAATGTTTAAATAGTATGTGGGGGAAGGGGGCTCACTTTTTCTGAGAATAATTTTATTCTGTAGTTTAATGCGTGATTTGGACTGATGTTCTCCACTCCCCCACACTTTTTGTTGCCAGACGGTCAAAATACCCAAATGCAAGCATTCAAAAAAAAAAAGTTCCGAAAGGTTAGAGCCCCACTTCCTCCCTTGAAATAGAATTTAAGGTGTGGTGCATAGTTTGCTTGTTTGTCTTTTTGTTTGTGGTTTCTGTTTTTTCTTCTTCTTCTTTTTTTTTTTTGCTTTTCTACTCTTTTGGGGGGTTACCCCTTTGAAAACTGTTGCTATGGGCTTGAAGAGTCTGTTGTGTGATTTTATGCATGAGTATTGGGGCACCGAACCTGGACCCCCTTTTTCAAAAATTGCTGGACCTGCCCCTAGAACTTTTATATTCAAGGCTTTGACTACAGTGTATGTGGTCAAAGATTAGTATACTAAACCATTACGCTACAGTTCTGCAGTTACTATAATTTGAGCATTTTAAATTTGAAAGAATGACTAAAAGAGTGCACCAGAACACATCAAAATGATGTCAGTATATAAAATGTGCCCTCACAGGAGGTGGAACCCCTCCATCACTTCCCTCTTTCCAGTAACCTGGGACCACATTGCAACATCTAAAATATGATGCAGAATTTTAGAAAATGTTGTTCTAACAAAAATCACTCTAAAGGTTAGGATTGAAGGTCCATTAAGAAGCATTCATAATACCCACAGAAAAGATTGGGGGGAGGGGGTACAAGCATTTGATTTCTGTAGTGAATAAGATGTGTTTGTGAAACACTAATGCCCCTGTATGGCAACATAGCGAAGGTTAAGCTTTCTCTAATGCTGATCAATTATGTTCGTACATAAAGTAAGGCCTTTTTACAAGAAATACAAATGTGAAATATAAAACCCTAGCACCACCTGTTCAAAGGTTATGATCAAGGTAAACAAAATTAAAGGTAGGACAAACTCCAGGGTCAAGGTCAAAGGGTCAATATTGTTGGTTTCTAAAGAAAGGCCTTCTTTCAAAGATTACTTTTGGGAAGTATGAAAGTGCTGGCCCTTACCGTTTAAAAGTTATGGCCATGGTTAAAGTTTGTAAAAAGTAGGTTAAACTCCAAGGTCAAAGGGTCAGAGTTGTTGATATCCAATGGAAGGTCTTGTCACAAGGATTACACATGTGAAGTATGAAAGCTCTAGCCCTTACTGGTCAAAAGTTATGACCAAGGTTAAACTTTGTAAAAAGTAGGTCAAACTCCAAGATCAAGGTCAAAGGGTCAAGTTGTTGATATCCAATGAAAGGTCTTCTCACAAGGATTACATATGTAAAGTATGAAAACCCTAGCCCTTACCGTTCAATAGTTATGGCCAAGGTTAAAGTTTTTTCGTAAGTATGGAAATTTCCAAGGTCAAGGTCAAAATTTTTTGTTTCAAATAAAAGGTCTTGCCACAAAGAATTGATATTTGAAATATGAAATTCCTAGTATCTACCATTGAAAAATTAGGGCCAAAGTAAAAGTTTGGATTTTTTTGTGTAAAAATAGGTCAAACTTCAAGGTCAGGGTCAAGATTCTTGATATCAAATGAAAGGACTTGTCACAAGGATTAAATATGTGAGGTATGAAAACTTTGTTCCTAACCCTTCAAAAATAATGGTAAAGGTTGATTTTAAAGTACATTGTAGGTCAAAAAAGGTTAAAGGGGCAAAGTTCTTGGTATCCAATATAGGGTCAGTATGTGAAGTATAAAAGCCCTAACCTTTACCCTTCAAAAGTAATGGCCAAGGCTAAAGTTTATTCAGAAGTACGAAAATCTTCAAGGTCAAAAGGTCAAGGTTGTTGTTACTCAATGAAAGGTTTTATCACAAAAAATACATATATGAAGTTCAAAAGTCCTGGTATCTACCATTCAAAAGATATGGCTAAAGTAAAAGTTTGGAATTTTTGTGTAAAAGTGGGTCAAACTCCAAGGTCAAGGTCAAATTTGGTGGTATCCAAGGAAAGGTCTTGTCACAAGGAATACACATGTGAAATATGAAAGTCGCAGCTCCACTAAATCAAAAGTTATCGGCAAGGTTAAAGTTTTTGCGGACAGACGGACAGACATAACAAAAACTATATAGCCCCGCATTGAAACAAATATTACCAAAAACAAAAATTCTAATTATCTCTCTTTGCCCACCCCCTACCCCCGAAAAGTACATTTTTTGTGAAAATTTATGTAAATTTCTATCTATTCAAGTGTAATAAAAACAAGATGTGTTTGTGAAACACAATGCGCCCGGCGGCAACAAAGTTCGAAAAAGCTATTTTTAGCATATAGGTCACAGTCAAGGTCAAAAGGTCATTGACCTTGATGTCATTTGAAAGAAATTTATTAGTGGAGTACGATTACCAAATATGAAGTCTCTATATCTTATGATTCAGAAGTTATGGCGAAGGTAAAAGTTGACAACAGACAGACATACAAACAGATAAACAGACAAACAGATAAATAGACAAGCAGACTGGACAAAAACAATATATGCCCTGGATCTATCGATCCGGGTGTATAAAAATCACTCAACTACGTGTGCAATGTTTTTATTGCCCCCATAAATGAAGTTTCAGGGGTATATAGAGCCTCTGTCTCTTTGTCTGTACAAAAACTTCAACCTTGCCCATAACTTTTGATTTAGTGGAGCTATGACTTTCATATTACACATGTGTATTCCTTGTGACAAGAACTCTCTTTGGGTACCACCATATTTGACCTTTTGACCTTGACCTTCTAGTTTGACCCACTTTCACACACAAATTTTTAATTTTTACTTTGGCCATAACTTTTGAACGGTAAATACCAGGACTTTTATACTTCACATATATATTCTTTGTGACAAGACCTTTTACTGAGTATCAACAACTTTGACCTTTTGACCTTGGCCTTGGAGATTTCCGTACTAATGAAAAAAGTTTAACCTTGGCAATAACTTTTGAATGGTAAGGGATAAAGCTTTCATATTTTATATATGTAGTCTTTGTAAGAAGACGCTTCATTGGATACTAAGAGCTTTGACCCATTGACATTGATCTTGGAGTTTGACCTACTTTTAAAAAACAAAACTTGACCATATCTTTTAAAGGATTAGAGCCAGTGCTTTCATACTTTATATATTTAATTCTTGTTACAAAACCTTTCATTTGATATCAAGACCTTTGACCCTTTGAACTTGACCTAAGTGTTTGACCTACTTTTAAATTTTCTAAACCTTGGCCATAACTTTTGAACGGTTAGGACTAGAGCTTCCAAACTTCACATATGTATTTTTTGTGGAAAGACCTTTCATTGGATACCAATAACCTTGACCTTCTGACGTTGACTTTGGAGATTTCCACACTCATGAAAAAACATTAACCTTGGCAATAACTTTTTAACGATTAGGGCTAGGGCTAACATACTTCATAAATGTATTCTTTGTGGCAAGTCCTTTTATTGGATACCAATAACCTTGACCTTTTGACCTTGACCTTACAGATTTCCAGACTTATGAAAAAATATTAACTTTTCAAGAATAAGGGCTAGGGCTTTCATACTTCACATATTTAATTCTTGTGACAAGACCTTTCATTCAATACCAATAACCTTGATCTTGGATTTTAATCTACTTTTAAAATCTTTTAACTTTGGCCATAGCTTTTGAATACTTAGGGCTTCTATACTTCACATGTGTTCTTTGTGGAAATACCTTTCATTGGATACCAGTAATATTGACCTTCTGACCTTGATCTTGAAGATTTCTGTACTTATGAAAAAACTTTAGCCTGGCCATAATTGGGAACAGATGGTGATCGGGCTTTCATGTTTCACAATTGTATTTCCAGTTAGGAGACCCTACTTTGGGTACCAATACATTAAATTTGCATTTAAGAAAGGTTTAATCTTCACTATGTTGCAATACGGGGACATCAGTGTTTCACAAACGCATCTTGTTTTTTAAGTACATGGAGGTGGGCTGTTAAATAAAATTCTCACTGACACTTCATTACCAAGAATGAGGGGCGTATTTTTCCGAGAATTTCAATGAAATGAAACGCTGAATTTTGCGAATTCTCACTTGTAAAGTGCTTTTGAGGGGATTGATTTTTAATAATCCAGAAGTCGAATTGACAACAATTTCAGTTAATAACTGTTAATGGACAACCTACACGGTATTGTCCATTGATTATCGGAGGGCCACGGTTTTTGTCTGTCCAGTATTGGCCTAAATTAACTTCTAATTCTCAGACCATTGAACGCTTTCCCAAGAGCACCCGGGGACTTGTTGAATCGGTCTGTAGCCATGTGCCGGTCTCTGTCGAGGAGTACCAGGGTCTCCATCGGGGGGATGGCAGTGGGTTTCCTGTTACAAATAGTGGGTGTGTCCATGGCACACTGGTGCGACTCGACATCTCGGCAGACCAAACGTTTTAATTTTGGACTCTGGAAAACATGCGAAGATATAGGAAGGCCAAACGAACACGTACCCATATGTCATTTTTCTTTGGACGGTAAGTTGTTTCGGAAGTAAATAAAGTGCTTATATTTTCTGCCCATTAAATTGTGCCCACCACCTTAATAAATAATTTCTTAATATACTAGTACCCTATTTTACTCTTGAAAAGAAATTCCACGAATAGTTAGAATTTGTATACGGTAAGTTAAATCTGTAAAAGTTATAATTCAAAAACACAAAGAATGCCCGTATTTGGAAAACGTCCATATCGTCATAAAGTGAAAATGTATGTGAGTGTATTAATCAATCGAACACTACCAATATTATAGTAGGAAGATCGCATGTTTTTATGTAAATTGTACTATAAAAACATCATGTATTTGATTGTATGTATTGATTCTCATTCTAAGGCATGGGTCAAAATGCGGTTCTGTGTACATAGTATAATCGTCCATCATATCTTGTAGTAGCGTGCCTAATGAATCCTTGTATCTTATGACAATGCGGAAATGTTCCTGAAATGGACAAATACGTTACTACTGTGTTGTTTAAAAGATGAAAAAAAAAACAACATATACTTCTAAATCTTCTGAGATCACACAGTTCACACATCAGAATTCGGATTGCTTTAGTTTAAATAATTTTGCAGGCCAGATAATTGTGGTACAGGTATTAGAAGTCTTGGGAGTACTTGGCACCATAAGCACTCCATGCCTGGTATTTGCAGCTGCCGTTAAATATGAAAATAAATGTAGGACCTCCATTTTTTCCATTATGTCTGCATTTGGAACAGGTAAGACTTACAGAATAATTATTCCTATATTGCAGCATATCACCTTAATTGAGCATCCTAAGGAGCTTATTATTTTAGTCACTCGTTCTGACTAATATCAACTGATTTAATAGAGCTCCTATCTAGACAGTGATTGCTTTTCGTGTATTATTATTATACAGTTGAACAAGTGTCCTCATATAGTTAAAATCGCATCACAAAACCATAAAAGAGAGAGAAAGAATCATTCCAAAACAAAAAATAATCACAAAAAGAAGATGGGCGAATAAGGGGAGAGTAATGCCCATAACTTCAAGTGTATAAAAAGTCAATTTGTATACAAAGAACTTAGAGCAAAGTTCTAATTATTAAAAGGCATAAAATTATGACAAACAAAAATGTTCTGCGAAAATTCTCTCGGCAAAAATACTTTAAAGACCCACTTACATGGAAAAATATGACGAGCAAAAATGATCATTTTTGCTCTCTTTCTTGTGTGTATGCTACAAAGACGAATAATTTCAATATGTGCGAGATTGTTGCCAATTGCAAAGATTTCTCTATTCTTATTCGATTTTGTTTCAAGTGTAACATGGGGGAAAATCACCACCTTCTTAAATTCTCGAGTTGGCAGAACTTTTAATAAATACAGTGTACTGACATATATTTTAAGACGAGTGTTTATTTACAGCATCCTGTATTATAATGGGCGTGGTCATTTTTGGAGTGGAGGTCCCGGATGAGAACTGGAAGTTGTCCTGGTCGTTCGGATTTTCGGCGGCGGCGGGCGGTTTCTACCTGGGTGTTTTTGTTTCACTGATTTGTATTACCCTAGAAATATCACCTGATGCTGAGGATTGATCGATGATGAAGAGAAATTGAAGTATATCGGAATTTAGGTTAAACGGTGTGAAAATGTCCAGGAATTTGTAGATTCGTGTCGATGTCAGGAATTGAAATGAATGATGAAAGACGATGTTCAACATTATATGGAGCATATAATCTGGCAAGGGAGTTCATTTAAGCATTCAACAGAAATACTTCAGAAAAGTCAAAGCTCAATTTGAAAATCTAATCATCTGCAATACTCATTTGATGACAATATATTTATTATCTAGAGAAAGAGAGATCGAGAGAGGAGGGTGAGACAAGAGCAAAAATATATGGAAACACCGTTTGCGGGTTGCAACATTTGGCGTCACTCTTCAAAAGAAATGATTCGCGGCGACTAATATTCATGGGTTATAGTAGGTCGCGAAACTCGTGAACATTTCTTGCACACGAATAAAAGTTGGTTTACAGTACTGACACTCCCTTATCTACCTCCGTTTTCCCAATTTCTGTCGAAATTAAAATACACATTACCGAATTAAACCGAATCTCTGGAAGAAATAATAATTCGTCGGATAGTTTGTTTGTCCATTGAAGTCGAAGATTTGCAATAATGAGCTTTGCTGTTTGAGACACAATGGTTTAGAATCTTGAATTTTTTTAGCTGCAGAACTGTAGCTCTCTCTTGAGAAAATTCGGACGGATAAAGCAGAGACCTCCGCTTTCCTAATTTCTACGGGTGTTTTTGAAATACAAATTTGAAATTAATTTTGAATGGCATTACAATAATTAATAATACATTAAACTTATTCCTGATAATCTCTGCTAATTAAGAAATAAAAGACATTACAAAACTATATATATACAGGACTGTTTCGGGTCGTTAAAAGCTTGTTTGTCCATTAAAAGCCAGAGAAAGCTTAGACTACACGATATAAATACCTAAAGTAGCGACAAAAGGTCTGTAATAATGATCTTTGCTGTTTGAGACAGATTGGTTTAGAATCTTGAATTTTTTTATGCTTCTTCATCTGAAATTTTCAATAGGTTAAAGTATCTTTTCAAGTATTCTTTTTCTGTGTTTTGTGTCAGTCAGTGTTGCGAGCAAAACCATTGTCAATCAAGGAAAAATGAATCATTTTGCCGAACGTGAATACTCTGACCTTTTGCCATCGCTGTATTAATTTTAGATTGTCTTTAGATTCCATTTATCACCCGTCAATAAGATTCGACTGACCGGATGCTTTGCAGAGAAATGAAATGGACGGAAATCGACCATTTGTTTACTGAACAGCACAATTCCTGTGGGATAACTACAGTCTTGTTCATGCAGAACCGGATCAGAAACACTTTGGGTTCCTTAACCTTTTTATGTTTCTGTATCAAATTTTGGTGAAATAATAAAAAGATTTGTTTATGAAACGCTGATACCCCCGAATGGCATCTTATGGCGAAGGTTGAAGTTTTTCAAATGCAAGTCAAACTCCAAGGTCAAGATGTCAAATTCGGTGAGACCCGAAGAAAGGCCTTGTGTGACAAGAATATGTGAATTATCAAAGCCACAGTACTAACTGTTTAATTATGGCCAAGATTAAAGTTTTTATAAAGCGGGTCAAGGTCAAAAGGTCACAGATATTTATATCATTTGTCACAATGAATGCACATGTGAAGTATGAAAGACCTACACTAACTGTTCAAAATTTGGTGGTACCCAAAGAAAGGTATTTTCACAAGGAATACTATAGTATAGCAAGCCATAGCCCAATCAAGTCAAAAGTTATTGGCAAGGTAAAAGTTTTTGCAAATAAACAGACAGACAGAAAAAAGGTTTGTTTATATTACGGGGGCATAATAATCACCAAACAACTTTTTTGCCAAACCCAGATTTTTTTTCTTTTTTTGACTTAGTTGCCTGGATACTTGTACATGTTTTTGACAGGCAAGGAATTTAGATGAGCTCAACATAACATGGTAGGTTTCAAAAAATAAAATCTACTTCACTCTTTGACAAAAATTTAAGTACTGAGGTCAAGGTCCATATATGTCTCTTTTGTCACAAGTTGAATGACAACATAAACTATTGACATTTATCAATAGCCACATGTACTAACTGAGTAAAATTTTGGCCAAAAGGTATTCTCAAAGGCACAACATCTCCTGGGTACAAATCACATAAACAATGTATTCCTTTCATGTACTGAAATGCTATTTGTTTGTTCAATAAAATTTATGCAAACTTGAAAAGCTTATCTTGTTCAAAATAAATGTAATCTTCAAGTTATGAACAAGGCTCTTTATCACAAAACTGTTCAAATTTGTAGATCAAAGTAAAGGTTTTTGTTTTTAAAAAGAACTAAGACATTATTTTAGAATATGGCATTCAATTCAAATACTAGTAAGTAAATATATTTACTGAAAAATAAGACCTTCAAGGTTAAATTATTTGCAGAAAGGCAACAGACAGACAGGACAGGGCCCTGGACAGGGCAAAAGCTGCATTTTAAGGATTTCATACGTAAGAAATTTACCTTAAATTAGTTTAATTTTTACAATGGTTCTGTAGTGCTACTATACTAAATATTAACAAAAACTTTTTTTTTGCAAAATCTCAAATTTTTAAAAGCATTTCTTGCTTTCATTGCAATATAGTTTCAACAGTGAAAATACTTGATTACTTGTAAATCACAAATCCTTGACTTTGTGAGGAATGTTGATATGAGCTCAATAACATAACATGTAGCTTTTTCAAAAAATTTTTCAAAACTTTTTTTTCTCCTTATTATTTTGTACAAAACTTTATATTACCGCAAAATTTACTGAGGAAAGAGAATTTACTGCATGGAAACCTTGAAAAATTTTATAAACAGAAAATTCAATGCTATAGCATTGTTGCTTTAAAATTTGATTTACAATTAACACTGTTTTCTTTCATAAATGCGAAATTAATTCTATAAGGTATATAAACACAAAACCCCTGGATATTCTCCATTTGTTAATCTTAAAAATCAATTGTTTTGAAATTACATGTACAATACTACTGCATTGTTCAGTTACTTATGGTTTGGAGATTATCAAGAGAATTAGTAAATATCATGTAGTTTAGATTATTATTTTCTTTCTAAATTATAAAATTCGTCTTTGAAATTCTAAAAGCATTTTTTTTAAAAAAAAAACAATATGCACACTGTATCAAAGATCCTAGAAGCTGAATATATTATTTGATATATTAGTCATAAATTGAAGTAATCTTCAATAGTTATCAAACTGGGAGAAGCCCTTTTTACAGATCCTGGAAATTGAAGGGTCGTGGTCCTAGACATTTTACACATGTCATACAGGATTTGACAATTTTATTTCAGGTTTTTGTTTTTAATATAACCTGTTTTATTTAAGTTTTTATGTTTATTGAACTTATGACAATTTTTTCTTCATTATTACATTTTTTTGGTGAAAAATCTGTGTATTCATTTGCGTATTTGCGTAAAGGGCGCTACGCCACTGTTCAAAGTCTCCAAACCGAGTTATCACGTCTCTATCAAGTATTGTTCAACAGAATTGGCTAAGGCATTTCACACTGTTATTCTACCCTCATTATTCGGTAGAATGAAGTTCTGCTGAATGAAATGGGGGACCTTGAATTTGTTTAAAGATTAGACTGAGTGGATTATGTCATTTCGGCCATCATTAGCTGCTGATCAGTCACAGGATCAATATAATAAGGTCTGTTGAATGACCGGGCATTTTACTCAGGACAAATAAGGGCAGGTGCGTGCTAAGTGTAACTGAATTTTGAACCTGAAGACTTCACTGAGAACGGAAAACAGATGCTGCAAAACAGGCAAGGAAAACTATTATAAGTTAATTAGAATAAAATTTTTATATGGATTTATAATTATTATTTTGTTAATTTATACTTGGTTGAATTATTATCACGGACTATGCATTCGGTTAATGAATCAACCATCACTCAATGATGCGTGCATGTTGTTCAGTATATTTGCTCAATATTTCTCCATTTTGGATTTTTTTTTCACGATTTTATTTTCAATCAGACCAGTTGTAAATTAAAAAAAAACAAATAAATTCTAAAATTCTGATCTGATTTTTAGATGTGGGAGATTTTTGAAAAGTGCTTCAATTATTGGGCGCATAAAAATACCTTGCAAAATATTATATATTCATATTATATAAAAGTTCCCTTTGGTGTATTGGCACACGCAGTTGAACTTTGATTAAATAAATCAGCATATTATTATGAGAGGATGTTGTTTATTTGTACGAAAAATATTCACATGTAAATTACGGAAATCACACCAGGTGTGTAGGATTTTAATTTCTTGGCCGAATTGTATACTATGCGTGCTTTATACACTTATTTTTCTTTTATATAAAAAAAATAACCCTAAATATCACTACACTATTATTATAAGGTATGGCGTTAGTTTTTTAATAAAGCAAAATTAGTAACATCAGATGCCCGTTTTCGCATGCAATGTTATTTTACGATTTACATTTTCTTTTGAATACAACATTGTATGTCTGTGGCAATTCAACAAACATTCACCATTACTGGTTGTGATCAACAAAAGGCTAATATAATATTTTTTCGGGCCCATTGAACACGGGAGGCCAAGTCCCTTTTTTAGAATAAATAGTCTTTTTGCTGTAGTTTTTATTTTAATACGTAAAAGTTCATTTAATTGCTGGTTGCCAAAAACATCTTTTTTATGTTGCTGTATGGTCGAGACCCCCCCCCCTTCCCGAACAAGTATACTGTTCGGGTTTGAACAGTTTCTTGCTTTCCTTTTTCTTTTGCGTGTCAGATTTGTGTTTGAGCCTCCCACACCATTTTAAAAATCGTTACTATAGGCCCAGAGTTTTACACAGAAAAAAAGAAAAAAATCCTAAAGTGATGCGTAATTTATACCATAGTATCTTACCAGAACGAACAAATGGGGCAAATAAACTACGAAAATTCTGTTGCAATTTTTTGTGGAAACAAGAAGGCTGATTCATTATGTGCCCACTATTAGTGATTAGAACACTAATGACTTGCTGCTACAAGAATTTAATGCGTTTTATTTTTACTTGCTTGTGCGCCGTTTTATATTTTGAAAATGTTCTTATTGTTTTGAATGGCGAATACATTGTTGCAGGAAAAACTCTGTATTTTGAATCTTGCTAATCCATTTTTCGAAATAACGTCGTCAGCAAAACTTTATAAGACTCGGACATTGGGTCAAGTGAATATTCCACAATAAAATTTTATTGAAATCGGTCAATTGTTTGCTTAGTTATCTTCCACCATATTGCACCTTCTGTGATAAACTTATAATAATAATTAATGTCGGTCGCTGGTTTGGGCGGGAATTTGATGGACAAACACTATAACTGATCAAGATCATCATAAAAATTATTTCTGATTTAAATCAACTCTGACAATCACAAACAGCCGAGGAGATCTGTAAGAGAATCTACAGTGGACATTCACAGCCTTATATAACTGATAAACACGACAGATTGTATGTGATAATATCAATGAAAAGTGGAATATTATCATAATTTTCAGGAAAATATTGTATTTGGACTAGACTTTTTAAAACGGTATGTATGTCAAGTTTTGATGTCAACATATATATGATACTGTCCCTTTTCTTGCTTTTTTCTCAACTCAAATGATTTGTCAACATACATATATACATGTATTTTCATTAAACAATTTCTTAGGAGCGGATCGCGGGTTTTCAGCTTCATGTGTAATAGGCGTCAACTTTACAAAAAAAAATACATATAATATAAATATGGGTTTGTGAAGAATTTAATGATTGCATGCGTTTATGGAGACTTCCTTATAATAAACGACAGAAGTATGAAGGGGGGTGACACCTCCCAACTCTTTTATATTATTTTCGTATTCAAATCATACTTTACGTCCAACAACATACAAAATAAATGTATCCACAATTGACTATTGTACTTTTAAGCTTACTCGTTGACTAGAGTTGACAAAAGATTTCAATATCGTACTTTTTAGCTTTCTTGTTGACTACAGTTGACTACGACATTAATATAATACTTTTTAGCCTACTTGTTGACTATAGTAGACTACGATATAAATATCGTACTTTTTAGCCTACTCGTTGACTACAGTTGACTACCATATTAAAATCGCATACTTTTTAGCTTTCTTGTTGCCTAGAGTTGACTACGATAGTAATATCGTACTTTTAGCTTACTCTTTGACTACAGTTGTGTACAATTTTAATATCGAACTTTTCAGCTTCTACGTTGAATACTCGGATATTAATTGATATCGTTTTTTTTTTGGCTTACTCGTTGACTACAGTTGACTACAATATTAATATCGCACTTAGCTTACTCGAGTTCATGACCTTTTAGTCAACCTTTTTTTCAACTTCATCTCCAGAATCACTTGAACACCATTTTTAATGCACCTTTGAAGAACATATAAGTTACATTTTGTTAAGTTTTCATATACATGCACATGTACTTATAAATTAGAGTTAAAATTAGCGACCTAACTTCATTTATAGAATATCGTTTATGCCAGGAGAGCCAGGTGACATAACTTAATAATTGGTGAGTGATTCAGCCTGTGAGTCTCTTGTTTCTTATTTTTAAATCAAGAAAATGGAAAAAAGCAAAAGTCTTTGTTTTAATAGCTCTATTGATCAGAGACGAGAAGAGTTTATGCAATTGAAAGGTTTCGGTCGTCCGTCCGTCTTTCTGTCTGCAAACAATTTTTCAAAATGCTACTCCTCCTAAACTTTTGGTCTGATTTCAATATAACAAGTGCATCGTTTTTTTTTTTATTTAATGAAAAGTGTTGCCATGGTCTCTAAAAAAAGATTTCTTGTGAAATTCTTTTAAAATGCTTCTCCTTCTACACTTTTGGTCTGATTTCAATATAACAAGTGCATCGGGTTTCTTTTTATTTAATGAAAAGTGTTGCCATGGTCACTAAAAATAGATTTTTTTGTGAAATTTTTAAAAAATGCTAATCCTCCTACATGTTTGGTCTGATTTCAATATAACTTGGCACACAAGTAGATTACACTCCGATACATAATTTAGTGCATCCATTTTTTTTATTTCCATGAACGGTGTTGCCTTGGTTTCTAAATATACAAGGCTCCAACAATTTTAGTCTGATTTCAATATTACTTGGCACACAAGTAAACTACACTCAGATACATAATTTCGTGCATCAGTTTATGATTTTGCTGAACGCTGTTGCCATGGTTACTAAAATTGGAAATTTCTGTGAAATTACTTTTAAACCCTTCCCTTCCTACAGTTTTGGTCTGATTCCAATTCAACTTAGCAAACAAGTATAGATTACACGTAGATAGATTTTTTAGTGCATCAGTATTTAATTTCAATGAACGGCGTTGCCATGGTTATTTAACTTAGAAATTCCCTAGGAGTACTTTCAAAATGCCCCTCCTCCTTTAGTTCTGGTCTGATTTCAATATAACTTGGCACACTAGTAGGCTGTACTTAGGAACATAATTCCCTTTATTGCATCCTGTTGCCAACTTTCAAATCCAAGTGCTTTAATTTTCTTTTGTTACACGTACATACCAGTAGAGCTACAGTCTCATCAGAGACTTCTGGTATTACTTAATTTTTCTCTTCACTTTATATTCGAAAAGAGAGAAAAGGGGTGGCTCTAAAGATTTCTTCTCTGCATGTTACAGAATTTAACGCTAGTTTGTTTTTCGCATGTGATATGACTCTTTTGTCTATAATTAAAAAGACTATCTCTAAATGAACTTTGTTTAACCCTCTATTTACCAAGACAAAGAGACGGTCGACAAGGGCCGATAATGGAGATTGTCAAAGAAGAAGTTTGTATTACATTCAATACAATACATATTAACACCCCTAGGATATTCCATCCGTACAGTTGGCCTGTTTTTATCGGAGTTATTTACTAGACTTTGTAAGGTAAACCTCCTTGTCTTATTTTAACCTTATATAGTATAAACATTTAATATATATTTATTTTTTCAAATATCTAAGATTTTAAGGTGGTTTGTCTCATTTTTTATCATGATACTATACTGGATTCTATTGATCCGTGGAGAAAATAAACAAGATGAAAAATAACATAAATTGTTTAAATTAAAATATATACCACTAATCAGTTGGTCAGAAATCAGGCTCCCATTCTATTGACTTTATCTCTCTTCCTCTTTTGAACCTAACCCTGTAAATGACACAGGTCTGTCTGTAAATTAAACTGGTCCGGATAAAGCATAAGAATTCTTATGGACCATACTAAAAAAGAGAAAGGTCTCAATTTTCTGTGCAAACTTACAAAAATTAACGTTTTGTGCTCGTTTCCAACATACTATGGCAAGTGTACTCCAAAGAGGGCAAATTTTGTGAAGATCATTTTTTTGATAAAGGCTTTTTCATGCCGATTTTGTTGAATTGCTGAGTGGTTAGTGTTCTAGTAGATTCAAAGCAAATCTGATTTTTAAAGTTTTATTGTGTGGTTTAATCTCAGAAACAGACACTTGTTGTCCTCTAGATAGTGCATATAACTGTACAATGCAAAGGAGAGGCCTGATCACAAAATTACCTCCTTGATAAGAAGAGCATTTTATGCGTTGAAGTCCTTACATAAGAATTGTTATTTGATTTAGATAGTTTATATTCGATATACTGCTATAAATCTACGCTGGTTATTGAAAGGTTGTCAATATTCCAGGTTTTAAAATTTGTTTTAGACACTTGTTCTGAAGAGTCAGACCCTCCTTGGTTCGAAAATGATAGATTGAAATAAAATTGTCCATGTTTCGTCACATTAAAAATTCAGTTCGTTTTTGATGTGATGTAGGACGTGAGTGTACCTAGTTTCTAGACAAAACAACATTGCTTTGCCATTTTATTAAGGCAAACTCCATCGCTAGAGCCAAAATAATTTATCAAAAAAATTAAGTCTATTTCAGTCATAGGATAAAGAACTTAATATTGAAAGATAATTAAAAGTCAATTTTTTAAGACAACAATTTGTCTGCACCATATGACTTTAATGGGAGGGAAAACATGTTTTGCTCGAACTATAAAAAGAAGTAGTTAATCAAGGCTTAATAACTTGTGATAGTTTATGCGTTAGTTATGAAAGTGGCGTTCGAAATGAGAGGATCGCACTACATTTTTCAAGGTGAGAAGGAAACCGCGTGATTTTTTGTGTATTTCTAAAATCTCATATCTTTTTTTTTAACTAATTGTTTTGTTGAGCAACAAAAAAAAAACAACACAACACCAACAACTTAAAATAAGTTTTTAAAAACGCAACCATAAAGAATTTACAACTTGCATTGGGTGGAAATAGACCAACAATATCTCAAAATCATTGACATTAAAATGGATCTGAGTGAAATCTAGTTATTGTACATGAGTAGATTGTCAATTACTTGATGTGATTTTATGAATAAGCAAACATTAAAAAGATGGATCAATCTTATCTTTCCTAGTTCTAATCTGATTAAAAAGCTAAGTAGCGGGTTTACTTTATGATTAAAAACGTCGACCACAGTGTAAGATATTTAAAGCTGGATTAATGCACTTTTCAGCCACTTGTTACTTGACGGGGAAATATCGTATTATGTAACTCTCTACTGTAAAAACCAGGTCAGAACTACTTGTAAGAACTTAACACGTTTAATATTGAAAGAGGACCAAAAGGGTATATTGGTATTTAGCATTGTTCGAAGCAGGTGTTAAAGCTACTTCTTTTGGGGATAAATTAGCATTAAAACTTGTGTATTAATTTCAAGATTATTCTGCTTATTCCCATCTGAGAGTGGAAGTCCATTTCAGTGATGGTATCTTCATTGAGGTAACTTTTATCTCCCATTACTCTAGCTGATTAAAAAAAAAGAAAGAAATTCTGACAAATAATATTTATTCTAAATGGCAAAATCATTATTTTTCAAAAGCGTCCTTAAGTATTTTTTTCTTTCAAATTTAAGGTACATTGCAGTTAAATATGGATTTGATTGAATATCGAGAAGACAAACTACAAAGTTAATGCTTTTTCTCTTTTTTTTCCCTACAATCTTTTCATTTTATTTGCCGTCTTTTTTTCTATTGATCTTTAAATGAGAACGTTACAAGTAATTGATATCGGAGGGGAGTTAGCGCGTGTAATGGCCGATCTGTCTGCACTATTCAATCGTTAAGGTGGAGCGCTGCACTGTGATCTGCAGAGCCTATCAATAGAAATAGTGCAGCAGGTATTATCTGACACTACATCCTTAAGAAATTGAGAACGACTTCAGTATGGACTTGTTTATGGAAAATAACACTGATAGATCAAAGTTATATGACCAGTCAATGCTGTATCTGTGTTGATAAATGTTTGTCTGTTCTTCGCTCCAGGCGGATGGATATAAGGGCGCAGTTCGTCCGTGTGTCCGTCTTTGAGTGACGGGTTTCTTAAACCCTTAATCATTAATAGATTTGTTTGATTAAAAAAATAACAAACTGCGCCTAAAATACTTTGAAGTGGCCAATTTACCTGGATTTTTAGTATGATGTGTATATGATTTTTATTCGGAACCGCGAGGTAAGTGGATACAAAATAATGTTTATGTATTACAAGTGCCGAGTCTTTTATGAAAGATATTAAAATGCTGTTGATATAAAAGCAGGCATAAAAGTCCGTATAGATCGTGATGATTGTTTTGACATACATACTTGTAAATGACGGGATGTGGTATAGCAGGATCTCGCACGGTCAAACACCATCAAATAACAATTTTATTTAATTTTATCTAATTCTAAATCGCAATTGCTTTATTTATCTGTTTTTCATGTGACAAATAGTTGATCTCGGGGAGGGGAGATGTTAATCGTGTGAGATATGGCGTTTTCTTTCCCCTTTTACCATTTTGAAGACAATTTTCTTTTAAGCATTGTTTGGCATAGTCCCAAACTCTATAAGTGTTGGTGATAAAAGACAACATTATAATAAATTATAGTCTATGTTAATAAAAATTGAACTTTACAGAATCGAAAGCAATAGGTATTTCTTTCACTCTATCTCCAATGGTCTTTAGCATTGATGCTCTATGCTGTAGGCAATTACATACGTAGAAATGACTTTATTTGTGTGTGTGTGGGGGGGGGGGGGAAAGAAAGAAAACAAGTAAAAAGTGTGTCTTCGATGAGAAATCTCAACTTTCTAGAAGTATTTATTTTTATATGTACATTCATTGTGATCTAAAGTGCAACTAGTTATACTTTTACACGAAAGAACATGAAATATTTTTCGAAAAAAAAAATGCATTGTCGATCTGCGCCTCTTAAGGCACACCATATATTGTCCAGCCATTAGTTTAATTTCAAGAAGAGGGTTTTCCTCAATAATTTGAGGTTCAGGTGGAGTAGGAATTTTAAATAGTTTCCTAAAATATAATTAACTTTTTCAATGACGCCATCATCATCTCGCTTTATGTATTGTACTGCTAGACTGTGTGTTGCAATCAAATATTTTTTAAAGTGTTTTAAATTAACTTTTCCATACATTGATTTGTTTGAACGTTACATGAAATGAAGTAAATTGCACAAAGAGAATCCCCCGGCATTGCGGCACGTCAAAGAATTTCAATCAATTCCAAGCCCTTTCTCAATTTGAATTTAAATACAGCCGTGTCAGATATTATTGCGTTTAAAAATGATACTCTGTTTCGAGAATACATTATTCAACTTTACTAAAAATAATTTTTCTTTGGAATTATGCTAGATTCGATTTTAAAGTGGGTAATTGAATTTAAGGTTGTAGAGAAAGGTGTCGAAAAGAGGTTCCGGAGCGTTCCGTTTGATAAAAGTCTCCCCGTGTGACTGACCGGATATGGTAATTCTCGGATAACACCAATCGTCCACTGCAAAAGATAAATATCTGTTGAATTGCTAATTTTACAGATGACAATATATATATTTTAAGCTATCTTTGTTTGCTTTTTTCCAGGTGCTAAAGTATGATCAGAAGATGAAGGGAGAATATTGCTCTACGCATCAACGATTTCTTTGATTTCGCGTCTTATTGAAATTTATTTACCCACCCCAGTTTATTAGTAATTCACATTGAAAATGAGAAGATTTGCGATAAATCAAGTTGCTCAGAATTTAATTTAAGGTGAATATTGCAGTATCGCACGTTGTAATGAAATCTTACAAATTGGATTTAGCCACTTAATTACTATGTCCAAACTTAAGGACGTTCGTAGACCCACTCTAGCTGTAATTGAGGAAAATTCGCTTCCGGAACATTTTGATATAGTGGGCTCAGGAACCGAAATTAACAAGAAACTTCTGGATGAAAATGACAATGTGTGTTCACATATGAATTTACTTAAAGAAAAGACAGCCAAACTGAACTTAAGCACACGCAGACCGAGTTACGTAACATGGAGAAACGAATGTATAGAGCAATCCGGTCGAGGGATTAAGGCGAAATTACCCAATGTCAGGGGAGACGACTCTGTGAATGGAAATGAATTAACTCTTGATAAACGAATAGACAATATTGACTGTGCTTTAGTCTGGATTAAACAGGAACTTGTAAGTATTGCAGAAACTTGCCTTAATTTCCCATAGAACCTCAATAATGATTATTTGCCCGAAAACAATATTCACTCCTGGACTTTAATTTCATTTTCTGCAGCATTCCCATGAAGCAATTGAACTTCATACTCTGCGTTCTCGAAATAAAAATCGGTGTAATTTGATTAATCAACATGTTTATTCAACCAATTGTCCCTCACGAAGTCCGGCCCCTTTGCCCCCATAGCAAGGAATCGAGGGGGGAAACATTTTGAATCCTTCTCAATTATTAGAAATTACCAGTTACTACCTCTCATCCTCTTAAATAATTATATGGTTTATTAGAGTATCTTATTATCTCCATCGCCAAAAAAATGGATCTGGACAATTTTTCGGGTAGAAGGAAACCTGTCTTATCTTGATATTCGTAATTTTGTATTTAGGAAGAGGACAAATGTTATAAAGTCAACTTAACATGGCATTTCTAAATATTTGGTTTCGTGTTAGAAATGGATTTTTTGTCAGTACGAATCGTGTAATGGTAACGAAAACATCCCCATACTATTTAATGTCCGAAACACACCTGACAACTGTCATTTTTAAATGTCAATAAACTGAGTGATATTTATCATGTTAAAAATAAAATAAAGAACCTTCATGGAAATGACAACAGTTCTGTGCAGGAATGATAAATACTTTCCGCATTCCTTTCAGCATCCTGAATTTATAAACTTTTCAGATCAATGCCATAGAATTTCTGAGACCCCTGGGCCACAAAGTAGCAACAGTTCCATAGACTCGTTTCAGAAGGAACTTTTAGCCCCTTATGGAGCCTTTTGGTAGAGAGCAGAATTCCAAATAATACCTTATTACTAGACGACTACATTTTGTTCTGAGGATTTCCGATGAGTGAACGAAAAGCTCAGTATTATCTACTTCTGTAAGCTTTGTATGGGAGTGTGACATAAAGACCTTATACCTTTCTTCTTTCTTTTGGATAAAATCATAATTTTTGCAAGTTACTACACTTCTAACTTTTAAGGGAGAATAGATGGTAAAAAATATTTAAAATTCCCTCAAATTTCCTTGTTTTCTGAATTTTATTATTGTCAGTGTTGATCATTGATGATCAAATGTGTCAATTTCCTCATATTTAATAAACAACTTGCATAATATACACATTAGCATACAATACACGGACATTATCATTAAATTTATATACTTGTAATGTCAAACAACGAGTAAACAACCATTGATAAATAAAAAAAACTTTGAAATTTTTTATTTACAGGGAACCTATTGTCAACGTTTTATGAACATTTATTTTGAACTTACGGGGCGCATTTCAAGCCTAACTCTAAAATGTATTGTATAAAACAACAATAAATTCTGATTAGATGCCCAGAAACCGTTCTCTTAATGCAATCCCGCCAACCTCTCCATGTATCTTCGATTTTTAAAATTTTAACTGTATAAGTTGTTTGATTCAAATATAATGTTTATAAAGCAGACGGAAGGGGAAAAAAGTACTGCGTCCTTGACAACTAAATACTCAACAAATCCATGCATATAGTAATTGATCATGTAGACCATGCAAATAAATAGGTGACTTTCTCAGGATATTTCATATATCTAAGGCTGTTAAATGTTATCTTTAGAGAAAATTATATAATAAAGATCACTGAACAAAAACGGAACACGGCCAAGAAAACATAACACAACCAGAATTTTACTATATCAGACAGAAACGGCTATAGCTATAGAATATCATATAAAAATACCAGAGGCATCGATCTCTCTATCTTCTAAGCTTTTGACGCATGCAAAACTATTTTTCCGCCAAGAGATAGAAATGCTTCAAATTCACGTATAGTTTTTACCAATTCACTCAGCATATAAATATGTCTTTCCCTCTCCCGAGAGTGCATGGTTGTCGAAAAGTGATCGCTTTAATTTGTAAGCAAGGAAACTCCCATTTCTGAATGATTTTATCGTAACAAATAATAGACTCATATGGGATCAGCGTGGCTGGCATAATCCTTGATAAAGAATTGTTAATAAAAGATAGTGAAGCTTCCTCCTGGCTATATACTATAAGACAAACACCAGACAGTGAATTAGAGATGTTTCCAGGTCATCTATTTTATCTTTATTGAGATCTCAATTTATGACTCTTTACCTGCCCATGTTCTCATGTCTGAAGAATTTATCATTTTTGTTTTGTCTTAGCATCACTCGGTTTCAGAGATTGCAAACGTCGGAATATTTCTCGCTTTACGTGTCCTGCGTCTTTGAGATTCCTTCTGATTGTACAGTATGGACTTCAAACAATTGGCCCATCAGCCACAAAGCTCACCTGCACGAATTGTAATAATTTGATAATTTTTTTCCCGACGCTACCATAGCTTCAAGCTCGTGGTTCTTATATTTTCATTCACTCACAACAAAGTTCTAATAAAAGTTGTAACTTTCTATGTCCCATGTGCAGATCGAGTCCATAACAATGTTGTTGACACGATAAATGAGGTTTCCTTTCAGTCTCATTAGTGATCCAGAGAATACGCCCATTAATTTGAGGATTAAAAAGTCATGGTCAAAGTTAGGGTACTCACTTTTAACCGATGTTTTACATGCGATACCCCGGTATTTATTTTGCCAATGGCCCTGAGTGCCGCGTATAAGTCAAAATTTACAGCTCTCCACAGGCAAGTGATTGCGTTTCCATATGAGTGAAAAAATCTTGAGTGGGACATTAAACAAATAAAATAAATTTGCTCAATTGTTAAACAGGGAAATAGTGAATTTGATTAGATTTACCGGCAAAACGTCAAATTTACCGTGACCTCAGTGTTGCTGACATAATGTTTGAAATACTAGTAAATATAGAAAGTAACCATAGAATCTGACGACCAAAAGATCAAAGTTAGTGAGAGTTTAGTGTTGTAGATACATGTGCAATGTTTAATTTTCCAATCCCAAAGTGCTAGGCTACCATGGGGACAAACTTATACTTTGAAGATCAAAAGGTCAAGGTTGAATATCCTTTACAATGTTGTTAGGAAGTAAAGTTCATTCTGACCATTTAGCATTGATTTGAAGGAATATCTTATTCTGCTTGGAAAACTTTGATAGATCTCTGCGTTATCTGTCCAAAATTTTCCACGCAGAAATATAAATTGATAAAGATAACAATCGTTTGTCCTTGCCAGTTATGGTTTTTGAGGTGAAATGCATCGACATAATGGCATCACACGTCAATGAACACAAATATGAATTTTATACCACAAGCTATTGTTTGTTACTTTTTTTTCATCATGAAGAAAAAAACGAAAGGTGATGACCTTTATGAAAACAAATTTATTCATCAACTAATTTCTTCTCAAAAACCTCCCGTCTGATAAATTGACAGGTGGGGTAAAATTATGTATGGTATTTGCCGAAACATGTCATTTATCTCTAAATTATTATTTTTCATGAAGTAAACAACATTTGAATCACTTAACTTCACGGTGTGTCGCAGGGTATCTTCGCCGTAGATAATGTATACCCTAGAAATTCAAGGTGTTGACATTTGCATTTAAATAGAGAGTCGTTATGAAATTATATTAAGCTCGTGTGAATTCATCAGTGGCCTTAAATTATTGACTTTCACAACAGGAAGATCGTAGTGTCATCTCCTGTAAGATGTCTCTGATACCAAAAACATGTAATGAAAAAGACACATCTTAGTTACATAATTCACAATGCGTTGATTAATATCATAGTTTTTTTTTTTTTAATACTTAGTTCTATGATAGCGTCCTATTGGGATTTTATTTTATTTCTACCATTTATACCAAAGTTAAACTTGTACGGTTACCTATAAGTTAAGAAAAAAAATCGCTTTTTTCAGTCTCTGGCATATTTTAATTAATATCTTCAAATTTCCAGATTTATCAAAATTCTTTACAGATTTTTGAAGGTTGGGGGGAGGGGAGACTGTTATTTTAAGGGATGAAAAGAACATTTTTTTTAATTTTAGGATAAAGAGAACCTCTATATTTTTGGAGGTAGACAGAAAATGCTTCTCAAATACCAGTGTGTCTTATTTATTCACTAAAAAAAAAAAAAAAAAAAAAAAAAAAAACAAACAAACAAATAAAATCAGTATAACGAGGATATTTCGACCACTGAATGAATTATGTACCACTTTTTTGTGGTATTGCTTTTAAAGGTATTTTTATGCTGATTTATAAACATATAAAAAAAATATTTTCTAGGATTATTAACTTTGTAAACTTCAAATAACAATTTAAGTAGAAAGTTTACAAAGATTGTTTTAAACCTTTTTAGGTGATTATGAGGTGGTTTTAAATTGTTAATTCTATGTATATTTAAACGTGCTTGGATTTGCAATGTGGCCCTTATTCCAAAATTTGATACACATTCAAATCTCAGTGAAACTCGATACTAAATCTTAAAGTTTATGTGTACAAAACTGTTAAAACTATAAAACCTTTCTGTTCTGCTTCCAGCAAGCAATGCGCACTCAGGACCAAGATATAGCCCGGAAGTTACTGTCATTACGTCACGAGATGAACGCCCTTAAACTTCAGTGGAGTTGTGACGACCACAAGGAGATGTTAGAAGAGGCTCAGTGTGACCTTGAGGAGATGCACGAGCTTCAGGACATCTGTGACACGCCCCTGGACAGTATACAGCCCGACCCCCTCAAACAAATAGGCGTAACCAAAATGAACCTCAATACTAGGAGATTTTCCATTCTATGATTGTGTTCTATGTTCTGTGTTACTGCTTTCTTTCTGTATAGAAAATATGAATATAACACTGTTATTTTCTACTCTATTGATATGGCATGCAAAACAATTGATCGTCTCATTAAATACTTTATTGCAGTAGAAATAACTTATGTTTACATTGGCAATTTTGAGTCATCGCAGAGAAAAGTTATACCCTCTGGATTTTTTTTAAGAGTCAGAGGAAGTAAAATGTTCGACAAAAATTGAAAGGTATAATATTAATCGCTACCAAGAAAACCTGTTATATAAAATGTTTGACATAATACGAAGTTAGTGCATGGTATGTTCAAACATTAAAATTGTTGAAATATAAATAACTTTGACAAGCTTGTGTCAGCTTATTTTGATACATCTCTGATCTTTTTCTATTTATCATGCACATTCTTGAACGTCTCTATGTATCAACAAATTTGGAAAAAATAATAAAATCATTATTCTCCTCAAACATAGTTTGAAAACTGGATGTGTTTGTGAATTACTGATGCCCCTGTATCGTAGCTAATGGTATCCAAAGGAAAGTTTTGTCACATATAATACATCTGTAAAATATGAAAGCCCTAGAACTAACTGTTCAAAAATTCTTGCCCAAGTTAAAGTTTTTGAAAAGTGGGTCAAAGTCTAATTAAGGTCAAGGTCAAAATTATATACACCTATTGAGTTTTGTCACAATGAATGTACATCAACTGTGAAGTATGAAAGCCCTGTCACCAACTGTTCAAAAGTCATGGCAATGGTTAAATTGTGCTGGTTTTTTTTTTTTTTGGTTGGTAAAAGTGAGTCAAACTCCATGGTCAAGAGGTCAAATTTGAAGGCACCCAAAGAAAGGTCTTGTCACAAGGAATACACCTGTGAAATAAGTATGAATACCGTAGCCCCACCACCTCAAAAGTAATGGACAATGTTTAATTTTTTTGCGGACAAGTAGACAAACAGACGGAAGGACAAGGCAAAAACTACACAATGTAAACCCGAATCTTCGATTACGGGGGCATAATCAAATTCAAAGAATTTTGGTCCACCGCTTTCGGTGTGTTTGAGAGTGAGGTGTCATTTTTATGGCATACTGTGTCCAGTATGAACGCCCTATCATGTGTCATTCAGAAATTATCACCGAAGTTTTTTTATAAATTAAGTCAATCGTCAAGGACAAGAAGTCGGAAATCATAGCATACTCGTAAATATCCTGTCACAGGTAATGCACATGTCAAATATGAAAGCCCTATATCTTCTCAATCAAAAGTTATAAGGAAAAGTTAACATTTTTGAAAAGAAGGTCAGTCTTCCAGGTCAAGGTCACAAGATTAAGAATCAATACTGTTTTTGAAAGGTCTTGTCTCAAGCAAAACACAGGTTCAATGTGAAATCCTTATCTCTTCTCAATGAAAAATAATGACCAAGGTTACAGTTTTTGAAAAGTAGGTTAAACTTCAAGGTCACAAGGTCAAAAATCATAGTGTATTTAGAAAGGTCTTGGCACTGGTAATATACATGTTTAATATGAAATTAAAGCCATATCTCTTCTAATGTGTCGGAAAGAGACAGAAGTTCAAGGAATCTGCAAGAAAGTATATATTTTAACGAGTTTGAAATTTGAAAATATCAATCCATGCATGGCACACATGTAATCTTCATGAATCGAGATTCCTGAAAATCTGCAAGAGAACTTTTTGTATGATACAAGAATTTTTGTAATTCTGATAATATTCCGTTCATCAGTTGTCAATGTGAATCTATAAGATAAGAGCCATGATCAAAATAAATAATTTTACGCATTGGACGATTTCTATCTTGAGAAATTACGTAAGATTTATCGGGTGATTGAAAGACAGAGAACTGGCATCATAATTGTATTAATTAACTGATACTCCGGATGAGAAAATATTAGCATACTTTATTTTAAAGCAATGGATCAGAAATTGAACTGAATTTCAGTAGTTTGAAAAGATGTTTTAGAAAAAAAATGACTCTTGAAAATTAGGTGAAAGTTTAGTCACATGTTAAGTGTATTGCTTAAGGATTTTAAATTGTGAATGAAAGACGATCACATATTTCTTTATATCGTGGATAAAGTCTAACGGATCACATTTAGATCAAAAGACAATTTAACTTCAAGGTCAGAACAGTTTTTGAGAGATGTTGCTTTTGAAAGCAATGCAAATGCCGAATTTCAAATTCCGCTTTCTCATGATCTAGAAGAACCAGAAGAATTTAAAAGAAGGACAAACGGACAAAATCGTGATTTTTTTATGCATAACTTCAGTATGTCATAAATTGATTTTTCTTTTACTTATGAATAGAATTCAATGGGTTTTATTTTTGTCTTTCAAGTAAAACCTCACATGGAAATCACATCAGGTACTTTGGTTGTGAATGATCCATGTCAAGAGAACTTCGTCCTTAAATTGAAGCAACTATAGAAAAAAAAAATTCAAACGTCAATTTCTATACAAAGAAAAATACATTTCTTAACCCAGGGCACCAGGTAATGCAAACAAACTTTTGTCAAAAAAATTGAAAATAACAACTTTGGTCATGTTTTAATGCGTAAAATGGATAAGTTTCACCGCGTAGATTTTGATTTTTTATTGAAAAATATTTGTATATATTAATAAGGATGGTTTTAAAAGGTATGTTTTATTTGCATCATTTGCAATTAAATTAGGCCAAAAACATACTAGTACATGTATACCAAACCAGCCATTTTTGTTTGTATCATCTGTCCTTACGAGGTACATGTATAGCACATTTAGCGAGTTTGTATATCCAATGCAATTTTAGTCTGTAACTGAAAATGCATACTACATATAACAAGAACATCATGTCAACAACTTTGTGAAGACATTGCTTTTTCTCCTTTAAAGAAAGAGGTTAAAAAAGGATCCTATAAAAATTATTAATTTTCAGGAGAGATACGGGTTGTTATATACGAAAGCCGGATAGGCTCATTTCTGAGAAGATAAAATAAAATTTAACTCGTTATAACGAGTTAATTATCTCGTTATAACGAGTTAGTATCTCGTTATAACGACTTAGTTATCTCGTTATAACGAGTTAATTATCTCGTTATAACGAGTTAACGAGTTAGTTATCTCGTTATAACGAGTTAGTTTTTCTCGTTATAACGAGTTAATTATCTCGTTATAACGAGTTAGTATCTCGTTATAACGACTTAGTTATCTCGTTATAACGAGTTAGTATCTCGTTATAACGCCTTAGTTATCTCGTTATAACGAGTTAGTTTTTCTCGTTATAACGAGTTAATTATCTCGTTATAACGACTTAGTTATCTCGTTATAACGAGTTAGTTATCTCGTTATAACGAGTTAGTTATCTCGTTATAACGAGTTAATTATCTCGTTATAACGAGTTAATTTTTCTCGTTATAACGATAAAAAACTGATATAAAGTTGATATATCTAAGTGATAGGAAGTATAGTAGTATAATATAAAACCGAGTTGATCAAGTTTGTTTATAGTGTGTATGATAAAGATTTTTATTGAAAACAGCAAACTAGTTTTTTTTTTTTTTTTTTTTTTTTTTCCGAGGGGTGGTGCCTGTGATTGTATTCTGTTTATGTATAAACAATGCAATTGATTTGTATTGTATACTTAAAAGACCGAAGACAAATACATGTACATGTATACGGAAACTTATGACTGCCTCTTGATGTTGTGTTATGAGTGCGCAGTAGCCCCCGAATTTTACGCCCATGGCCTCATTGCTGATGTCTCCATATCCCCCTTCTTCAAAACATTTCTGACTCTCAAAATAATATTATCACACTGTAAGTGTATATAATATATGTTGCGTTAACGCCTGCGTTAGCTTCCTATTATAATGTATTAATTTTGGTACTAAGACATTGATCATGAAAGCTAATAAGTCATCCAAAACATATCAGAAAAATTAATGTCTTTTATCGGAGAAAGTTGTTATAAATAAATTGCCAAACTTTGAAGCAAGTACATCTGGTAATAGATTTTTTTATATTGTGTCCTTGGAGACGTTCACGTATAAATGTGTAAATAAAGATTGCTATACTTATCAAATTGTGATTATTGACAGCAAGATAATTCAGGATTAATATTATTTAAACCATATCGAAAATTAAAATTGCAACTTTTTATCAATTTTGAAGTGAAGTATGACTGATAATTATCAACTAAACATCAATGGCATTAAAACTACAGCCATTTTTTTAATTCATGACTAACTCGTTATAACGAGATAATTAACTCGTTATAACGAGATAACTAACTCGTTATAACGAGATAACTAACTCGTTATAACAAGATAATTAATTCGTTATAACGAGATAACTAACTCGTTATAACGAGATAATTAATTCGTTATAACGAGATAACTAACTCGTTATAACGAGATAATTAACTCGTTATAACGAGATAACTAATTCGTTATAACGAGATAACTAAGTCGTTATAACGATATAATTAACTCGTTATAACGAGATAATTAACTCGTTATAACGAGATAATTAACTCGTTATAACGAGATAACTAATTCGTTATAACGAGATAACTAAGTTAACTAATTCGTTATAACGAGATAACTAACTCGTTATAACGAGATAACTAATTCGTAATAACGAGATAAAACTAAGTCGTTATAATGAGATAATTAACTCGTTATAACGAGATAATTAACTCGTTATAACGAGATACTAACTCGTTATAACGAGATAACTAAGTCGTTATAACGAGATAATTAACTCGTTATAACGAGTTAATATTTTTTTTATCTTTTCAGAAATGAGCCTATCCGGCTTTCGTAGTTATATAAAATAAAATAATAATGAAGTATTACACATTTCACAAACTAATGCAGTCGGTACGAAAGCCATGAAGGGACACGTCGATTTTTCAAAAAAGTAAAAATTAATTTGAGATCTCGAATTACTCAATCCGTTCCCACGGATTATCAATTCGTTCTCTCGGTTTATAATTCGAGATCTCGAATTACACAATCCGATCCTACGGATTACTAATTCGTTCCCTCGATTTATAATTCGAGATCTCGAACTACACAATCCGATCCCACGGATTACTAATTCGTTACCTCGATTTTTAACATCGGTATTATGATTTTGGCAATCAGTGCGCGCGAATTTTATTAAATGTATATATGTATACATGTAATGTTGGATACACTCAAATCCAACTATGTGAATCAATTAATGCGATTCATGTAATTTGTTTTAGCAACCGCGGTCGTTCCGAACCTAGCTCTTTTATAACTAATTCAACGTATATTTATTCAGATAAAAATAATTACACAGGAGCCATATTTACTTTTACTATATAGGACTTTCAATTATTCTAATATACACGTAAAACAAAACACAGGACTTTTTTTGTATAAATATCAGTACTAGAATATGAATTTGAGTCATGTTCATGTAATTTTTTTTTCATTTTGGACCGTTA